CTAATACAAATCAAGTGGTTCCAAATGGCCATATTATCTCATGTGGTTTAAAATGTGCGACAAAGTGCCTGATGAACCCAATATGCCTTGGCATGTGCATGATCAGATGCAAACATAGGCCTTCGGATGTTGTGTATGATTGTACACATAATTGTGCCAACTCCATTGCCACCACAAGCACTTCCAATTCTGGTAATGATATGCATATATATTACCATATAGGATTATTGATCTTACATTCCTCTATTTAATTACTCTTTATCTATAACTTTATCATGTTTGTTTGAAATTATATTTTTAATTATTGATATTCTTTGTATTTTTGTTTTATTTGTTTTATTGTAGATAAGCGCTATGTGGAAGGTTTCGTGGATTCATGCTATGAGAGTTGCTCCAAGAATAACCAGATAAATTAATTGATCGACTATTTTTCCCTAGTTCAACGCCGATGTTTTGTTTCATAAAATAAATGACGAATTATGTCTTTCATATGTAAACTTCTTATTAAAAACAAGAATAAGATTTACGCAAGTACTACTTATATTGCTTTATGGGCCTTTTTTTTTTGTTCACCATGCATGTAGTGTCTTCATGCCCGAATCATTTCAATTTTAGTTTTTAGTTTTCATTTTTTGTGTTAGAGTGTAGAGGAAAAAGAGGGAGAATAGTGAGAATGAAAGTGGAGATAAAAATTTGCACTTCCCTATACAATGATATCAGGCCTACAACATAACGTTCAAAAATTTAATAGCAGTAAAAAAATTAAGGTTGGTAAGAAAAATAAAATAAAGGGTGAGACTAGCAATCTTTAAACTAAAATGCAAATGATATACTGTTAATTGTCATTCAAATGTATGCTCGATGGTTGCTCACGTTAGCTACAATCGTGCGTAGGACTTATTGGGATTTCCAGTGATGGCGAAAATTGTGGCATACATCTCTTCAATATATGCTGCATCACAGCTCATGTAATTAGCTACAATACAATCATGCTTAGAACCATAGATGGCCAAAGGGTCTCGCTATAAGAAGAATTTAAAAATAAATATTAATTGTTATAAATTTAAAAAAAAAAATATATAATATAATATAAAATAAAAATAAAAAGGAACCGCCTAGCCCGCCTAGGCCGATTTTTCCATATTTTTTTTTGAACCCGCTCTCATGGGTTGCATTCCTCATCCCTCACAGACTTGTCGACTCTCTGGCCTTCCGTTATACAGCCAAAGCTTTTCGCGCGTTCCCCAAGAGGCACTTACGACGTCGTTCCCAATTCGTTCCAACCAGCAAGCTTTTCACAAAGTTGTCACTTGCTGTACTGCATCAGTCTCAGACTCCGATGATGCCTTCAATTGGGACGATGTCGTTAAGATATCCAAACCGGTTCATATCTCAGGGGCTACTCGGAAAAGATCAAAATCTGCAATCGCGCCTTCCTTGGTAAGTTATATAATACATTTTCTCAGCTGCCAAACAGAAACAGACCAATTGTTCGTTTATCTCTCCACAGTCCACTCCACATTTTATTGAAACTGCTTGCAGGAATCGCACTCTGAGTTCCTTCTCTTTGTAATTGAGGTCCATTCACAAAGGGTAAGCTCAAATTCCGTGAGAATTCAAATACCCGTTTCATGCTCAGATATAGCACTGAATAATTTTCCAAAA